TCTACCCAACTATCTTTAAAAAGCCTAGGCCTGGGCATCCAGAAGTTGATACTACCATAATAATAACTACAATAATAATAACTTGGAAAAAAAAGATATCCAATAACTGCTTTAATTGAATTCTTTTGTGTGTGTGTTGGTGCGTGTTTTTTTTTCTTCTTTCAGTTTTTTTCCTTGTCAATTTTTTCTTGCCTTCTGCTCTTCTCCTCTCTTCTCTTTAAAATCAAAGTCTAGCTCTTCAATAGTCAAAACAGCGTTACCCTGGGGTCCAGACTGTTATTCTCGCTCCAGTGTTTGCTGTTTTGAAGGGAAGTCGATAGGAGAAATCTGTAAAAAGAAAACAGCTTGACATTTTTTGACCAATCAAAGCTCTCGATAATTCAAGAACCAGTCAGAAGGCTAGGGTCAAATTTAGACTGATTTGTTCGGCGAATTCATAGGATTAATGTCAATGATGCTTTCGCCCAGAGGTTCCTTTCGCACTCTTAATTCAGCGCTCGCTCTTTAGAACCATACACAGGAAGCGAAATAGAACCTCTGGAGCCCAGGGTACTTCTTCTTGTAATTATTTTTTTCTTTTGTATCTCAGAAATTTCTCAGTTTGAAACTATTGGTCAGAAACGAGTCACATGACTCCGTGTAGACACACATCTGGGTTGACAAAAGAGAACTAAAATAACGTGCATACATACTCACTGCTTATGATACTAAACAACACAAGTTTATGATCATGACTTGAATGATTGCGGTCTTGCTAACTGAACTATCCGACTGTAAACACGCAAGAGATGGGCTTGGCCGGGTTTTTTCGTTCGACAGAAATAGGATATTTCAAAATAAATCTTTGTTAGTTAACTCACTAACGATTTTTAATTTAAGAACTGCAAAGGAAATACTCACTTGATTTCGAATAATTTCACTGTGAACCATAATATATTATATATATATATATATCCCGAGTTGATTTGGAGCCAGCTAGATATCGACAACTTTATGGAAGGTTTTCAACCAGAACTATTGGTGGTCTTGCTCTATATGACGCTGTTATACGAACTCATTACAGGAATACAGAAACGAGCCAGCAAGATGGAAAGACTGAAAAAACTGTCTTCTCCGACATGTTCGAAGCGAAGTCGTGTTGATTTGAATCGAAACAACAGCGAGAATCATGATCAGATCAGACAGAGAACAGCAAGACATTTTGTACAAATGAGAATAGTTGGAAGAGACTGAGAAGAAACAGCGTTTAACATTTAAACGGTATATAGATAATCAAATTCAAACYTGGGTGCCGCACTCTTGGCGAAGAATATACTGAAACATCGCCGTGTGCGAGCCGAAATACGTTTTAAATTCTATAAGATCATGACGATAAATACTCTAAACCTATTGACAAAATGAGCATGGATATTGATATAAAGGAATTATAATACAAAAACCGGCAGTCTATAATTGTGAAATTAAAGGGTCAACAGTGAATAGATCAGTGGCCATCACTTTTTCGGTACTGAGTGTGACTGTTCTCCAAAACAATTTGTAAATGAAGATATTCCATATGTCATTCAATTCGAAGGTCATTAAAATGTCTATACCAACCGAACAATTAGTTTAAGCGCTTTCAGTTCCTTATGTTATGGATAGAATTTTTTTCAAGCCCAGCTGCCTGTCTCGCTTAAAAAAAACTGAATGTTCGCCAGAAGACGCACCAAGACTGAACTATATACTCTATTAATGGTTATCATATTATAACTGAATATGTACAGTTTTGACCATCGCATTAAGGGACGTTATTCGGTTAATGAATGAAGGCAAGAATAAAGTATTCAACTATAAACCCAGCATGTGTTGGTAATTCGCATATATTTTAAGACCTCAAGTCTGTTCTTTTATTTTCTTTCTGTCTTTGTCCGGGCTTTTTCTTTTTTTATCCTTCGCTATAAGTTACTGAAATACGACTTGACAGACAAATTGTTTGTCTCACCATATATTCCATTTCGTTCAATACACTTCGAAAACCCTTATTCAGTTTTGAAAGTCCCTAATAGCATTCACGCATCTTTATTTTTGGCGAATTGAGGGTTAGTCTATATAAGCCGGAATTTGTAATCCGGAATCCAGAACCCGGAATATCCGGAATAAATACCCGGAATACTAAAATCCCGGAATCACCAAAGATTAAAAGGATGTTACTACAATTATCCTAAAAAAGCCTTTCCTACTATGCCCTATGTGGTTCGTTTTGCATGACATTACTCATTGATAACTTAACCGAGAGGCGAGAATCTGATTTTTAATCTGGATTTACACCATCACGATGGCAGCCATATKACAGTAGGCACAACATCTATTACCCGTAGATATCGCCTCATCTCTAGCCTCATTTGCAGCCGTTCTAAGAACGGCTGCAAACGAGGCTACCTCATCTCTCGTCAGGAAATATGTATTTTTTTTAGAGTGTACGGTCGTAACCGGGCAAAGCATATTCCAGACCAATCCACACTGCACAAGAATTTACTCTCCATCAAATCAAATGCCCAAAACACGCGGCATAAACACGGCTAAGACACGGTCACACCAATGTTACGGCACTGCCAGACCAATCACATTGCACGAAAAAAAAAAAAAGAAAAAAAAAAAAGCTAATTAAAATTCGAGAAAACATCACGGTCGCGGCAAGGCACGCATACGGCAATGACTTTTTCACAGTCATACCAGCAATGTACCAGTGTAGCATTATAACATATCTAAGATATAACGCGCGCTCTGATTGGTTCACCACCTATGAAGAAAAAATGTATGGAGCACTCGTATGGCGCACGCTGGTGACGTCAAGTTGGTGAAAATTCGGTGAAAATTGCAAGCATTCAGACAAAACTAAGAAGACTACCAACTGCCCTACCTTTCTGTACATTTAAAGATAAAATATAACTATCGATTTCCTTTCCATAAAAAGTTTATAGCGTATTTGTTTGTCCTCAAGTTTGGCTTACTAAAAATCTCGCCCTTCCACCCGCCAAATCACTACAGCGAAATCAAGAAGTCTTGTAGTTGAGAGGTCAATTAGTTCAGTTTTTCTTCCTCAATCCGCCGTACAGGTCACCACAGTAGTCCAGCAAAACACCACGATGGTTACTGAAGCTCAAGTATTATAGAAACTGCTTCCCTTGTATGAATTTTTCGGAAAAAGTTTTTAAAATGAAGTTTAAAATAACAAATTGAGCTGTTTTCGCATCTTAGGAGATTCTGTGATTTGATCAGAGCGAAATTAACAGTTTTTATCGTGTAAATTTGTTCTTTATGTTATAAAAGCAATGGTCAATGCTATAGAAGTGCGTAAATCTATTGATGGTGCACTTGGATAGTTGGGAGAGCACGATGGTAGCTAGAGTTGACCATTGCTTAAGTGTAGCAGTGTAGCAGTGTAGCAGTGTAGCAGTGTAGCAGTGTAGCAGTGTAGCAGTGTAGCAGTGGAGTGCAGTCAAATTTTTTTTTGAATCTATGAGTGGCTGGAGATCCAAAAACAGAGAAAATGGCTGAAACTTTATATACTTTATGTAANAGTATCGTGCTCGCATCTTAGGAGAATCTGTGATTTGATCAGAGCGAAATATACAGTTTTTATCGTGTAAAGTTGTTCTTAATGTTATTAAAGCAATGATCAATGCTATAGCAGTGCGTAAATCTATTGATGGTGCACTTGGATAGTTGGGAGAGCGCCGGGAGAGCACTCTGGTAGCTAGAGTGCAGCTTTTACGCTACCATCCTGATCTCCCAACTATCCGCGTGCAGTGTAGCAGTGTAGCAGTGTAGCAGTGTAGCAGTGTAGCAATGTAGCAGTGAAGCAGTGGAGTGCAGTCAAATTTTTTTTTGAATCTATGAGTGGCTGGAGATCCAAAAACAGAGAAAATGGCTGAAACTTTATATACTTTATGTAAGAGAGCCTTCAAACTTTTTAGAAATAGATATTGAGCTACTGTGTTGAAATTAATGGACCAGCTCTGGAAATACCTCGTTTGATATCCAAATATGAAATGAAGAAGTAAAAAACCGAAAAAAGATAGAATCTTGAAGAAGTTTATAGAGTAAAGTTTAAACATTTTTTCGTAAGTCGATAAATTTTCTGTAACACCAAACCTCTTGATGTTCTGTACGCGCAAAATCAACTCGGAATGAACTGTTTATAATCAGCATTGTACAGATAAAAGTAAGTACATATTCAATTGAAGAACGTTTCAATATGAGACAGTTTTTTGATTGGCCCCCAAGGCGCAAAGCATTGTTGGCTATGAGAAAGTGGATGACGTCGGCGAAAAATTGAAAAACAAGGAAAGAAAGAAAACAATTAGTTACAAATCTACCCTATGGATACCACTGAAATCACCAGGACACCAAGAAATGAAATTGAAGAAAAGGAAAGCCCAGAAAAAATTAACAAGGAGCTTCTCTCAGAGTATTACAGTGCAATGGCAGAGGCTGCTACCTTCAAAGAACTCTGGAAAAAAGAAAAAAAAAAGAATGCTGTGCCCAAACGCTCCTTTGCCCTTTCGGAACTGTCTTTCTTCCTTTCCTTTGATCCTTTGCGCACTGCCGGTATATTCTTTGTTGTGCATGCCTATTGTTGTGCCTAAAGTAGACAGAAATAGGTTACTCAAAAATAGAAAAGTTTCACTATTCTATTTTCTGTTTTTTTTTTTAAAACCAAAAAAGAAAAAATGAAAAAAGGAGAGCAAAAGCGTGAGTAGGCATAATGGTTAGGTCACCCATCCAAGTGCTAACTCTCCTCAGACGAGCTTGACTTAGTATCTTGTTGAACGACAACGATTTAGCCACTGGACCACGGTTTCAGGTGAATCAGCATAACAATAGCCGTGAATGCACCGAATACACTAGACTTTTTGACCTTATAATTTCAACCGATTCCGTGCGTGGCAGAGATGCAAGGGATTAGCCAATATGGTGTGGGGGCCGGCTGGTCTTTCCCCTGAAGCTCCGGCTAGAAAATTTTCTTGCGTAATTCGTACACCCAAGGGCCGAAGGATTTAATCGCCGTCAGGTCCGAAGTCCATACGCCGCCTCAGCTCTGCGGATGTCTTGGGGGTATGGCACAGTGAAATCGAGTTTTTTGAATTTTTTTTTTTGGTGGGTTCGAATCGCATCTTACCCACATAATTTTTTTTTCTTTTTTTAATGTCTCGGGGGTATGGCACAGTGGAATCGAATTTTTTGAATTTTTTTTTGGTGGGTTCGAATCGCATCTTACCCACATAATTTTTTTTTCTTTTTTTAATATCCATTTTTCATTAGATTTAAATCTTCAAGAATAAGGCTATCTTTTTAGTAAAAAAGATTTATTCCTAGTCGGTTGCTTATAAGCCTGTATAAGTTCAACCAGACGTTATCAGTCATATAAGCAATATCTATCAGCGAAAAGTAGAGCTATGCTTTCATATTTTTCCTGGAAAAGTTTGCTGACAACAACATTTACTGGACTTTGATCTCTATATCATATGCCCGCAAAGGACTAGTGGATGGTGCCGTGAAGAGTTGTGGGTACTATTGCGCAATTTCTGAAAGATAATAAAGAGCCACCCCAGTAAATAATACAACAAAAAACGATGGTACAAAAATAAGAAAATTAATTGGTGATTCTGACTGAGAGCATTGGGATATTTGATCTCGTTGAGTCATGGCGCAAGAACATATTCACAAGTAGTGTGACACGTATAGCCTAAAGAGCAGAACCTGCAATTATTTTAATATCAGAGAGTTTTAGATTGACTTTTTTTCCTTCCCGCAAAAGGCAATAGTGCCCACGTTTTCATCGTTTTCCTGTATTTTACATTGCCTTTTACAAACCTTCTCACCAAGCGCAAATACTCTTTTGTTTTTCTACTACTTGGACTTTTTTGCGATTCTTTTTCAGTAATTTAAAAGAATTTTTTACTGGTCAACTGACGTTTCACGTTTGCCGTGAACGTAAATCTAAAACTCTCTATTATGTAGAGAACACCTCGAGGAGAAGATCGCCTTACACGAGTTAAACGAAATCATTCTTTTCTTTGAAGCATTCCATTATCTTTTGGCTAACATTGCAAACTTCTTCTGTTTACTAGGCCTCTGTCCATGATACAGGCAACCCAGTGAACACCTATGGGGCGTCCTGTTTTTTCAATGAAGTATTAAAACAAAATCTGTCATTCTTATCATAACATTTCTTAACGAATATTTCTAGAATATCCGCCTAAGCTCGCCTATTTCACAGTATAAATAAATAGTCAGTGGGACGTACGAGGAGCATAGGGAACCCAATATCTCAATAGTGAAACAGAAAAAGTGATTCGTGCAGTCTCCTTTCCCTCGCGAATGCAAATCCAGCAAAAGAAAAAGAAAGAAGGTAAATATATTTCGTCATCACGTACAGGAAGGGCACGAATAACCAAATACAGCGCAAGTAGTTCGACGTAAAATCCGAGTATCCACGAATTTTGCTGTTGTTGATTTAATTGTCGTGACATTGAAGATGACGAGACAGCTTGATAAAAGTAAAGGTCACCTTATACTCCTGCTTAGTCGTGCAACACGGCGCCTCCCGTCTAATATTATTGTTATTATTATTATTGTATAGAAGTCCTATGATGTGCAAACTGTCTCACAACATATTCCCTTGGTATATTTTATTTGCAGTGTATTTTACAATGTTGTACAAGAGATGCTAAACGTAAAAAGAAAAAATCGAGAAAATGCGAAATTCATTGAAATATTCTTTGTCTGAGTTGCGCCTGCAGTCAAACATTATATCTTTGTGAGGCCACATTCGCCATTCTGAGGGCGAGGAGGGGTGGGAATGTTTTAGTAGGGCGCATATTGCAAGATAATTGCTCCTCTATATGTCCCATAATGCTTTGCAATGCCAGCTCGATGCAGTTCTTTTTTTAAACATGGAATGGCTAAATAAGCCAGGCTCTAATCTGACGAGGCTTGTGTGAATAATAGTAATAATAATTTATTTATCATTGATGAAGCTTGAAAAAATCGGGAAATAATGTTTCTTCGTAATTCATTTTTTGAAAAATCACATGATTTACCCATAAGAAAAATTCAATCATCATTTCCTGTCTTTTTTAAGTTGAATGTCATAATTTAAAGAGAAGCATTATTTTCCGCCAGCTGAAGCGGTCACTGTCTTGATTTGCGTGGCGAGTTCTTTTTGCTGAGCAAGTATTTGGTTAAACTTCTGGCGAGATAAGTTGATGGATGATATGCAATCAAAGAGTTTGTTAGCTGAGATATCGTCTGGTAATTTGCTAAGGAACTGTCCCAAGTGAATAAAGTCCATACCAATGAGTTCATCCTGATAAAACTTCAGAATACCTGAAAAGACAACATTTTAAAGCGATATTACGGCTGCGTTCATTAGACTTCTCCTATAGAGTAAATTTCGTTCGCATACAACTTTGTAACCGCACGGACCTCCAGCATGCACGGCACACTGGCAAGGCACGGAATTGTACCAATGCACCAATTTTGCATTCGATGGATACCGCTGCTTTTGAAGACCACAGACTCATTGGCACAGGTTTAGCCTCGTTTATAAATCAGCTATTCACAGGAATTTCAAGACATTGGTATTGTTCAAGCAGCAAATGATTTGCTCCTGAACGAGGCCGCGGTCTTCAAAAGCTTTTACCGAATGAGTAAAGGAAATATTACAGCAATTGAGATCGCTGCTTATCGAATTAGCTTGACATGGCACCTCTGTAGCGTGCTTTTCAGTCATACAAAATTTCATACGAAATCTGCTGACAACGCAAGAGAGATCTGTCTACCCCGCAAAATTCATTCTTAAAGACGTGGTCATTTCATAAATTGACACTGGTGTGCTTATTTTTCTTCCAGTTAAAAAATTATGAGCTAATTACCTAATGCTGTTCGGAACAAGAAGTAATCGCCATCTCTGCAAAACACGTCCCACACACGACAAGCCACGTCCAGAGGTAAAGACTTACTAAACAAGGTAAATATCCTGAGAAAACATGAGAAGAAAGTAAATTGTGCATTACTTCAAACTCTATGGAAATGTATTTATTTTTTATTTCATTTATTTATTCAAAATGATGCTTACGATAGCTTAGCAAGTTTTTCTTGTCCCTCTTTCGGGATTGTCATAAAGAATCTAATTCTATAATTTGGATCATGAATAATGAACATTGTACGCGATTCATGGTTTCGATTCCCCATAGTTACCGTTGCCAGGTCTTACAAGCTTAGAAATTTAGCAAGAATAACAATGATTTTGTTTTACTATTTTACTGTACTATGGCAATACGAGAAACGTTTTTTTAGTCTCGAACAAGAATAAGTTGCAATATTAGGAAAGTTGCAGTTGATGCGATGATCGGTACGAACCATGAACTACTAACTTGGCTGTATGCACTCACTTGTTGCACATCGTAGCATATAGCAAAAACGTTGCTTATTATACATTTAGTAGGAAATCTAACATTCAAAGAACATAAAAGAGCAATGACTTACCAATCTATCAAGTACATATCAGGAGAAAAATTTTCTTGGAAAAAGAGTTTTCCAACCTTGGGAAGGAATTCTTCAAGGAAGATTTCAAAAGTGGCAAAGTAGGCTTTCATCTGTCGAGGAAAGAGACGAACAGATATTAAAGAACGCAATTCGTGTTTCTGCGTCTACGATGCAAGCCCACCCCTAAAACAATAAATCCCTAAATCCCAGATCGAGTCTAGAGTTTGCCATATGGTTCTCTAGTCATTTGCGCCACAAGAAACAATAAAGGCAAGTGGAATTTCTTACCATAGGGTGATCCACTCTGAAAAAGACCAGCTGGCATGGTTTGTTGAGAAGGTTAGCAAAACAAACAAATGCGTCGGGTGGTTCCATGTTGAGGAGAAGAACAGCAGCTATGAATGACATTCCTTGGACCTGTACACAATGAAATCGTCTCTACTTTTATAACTGTTTTTGCATTTTCAATGACACTAGCCTTTGTTTAAGGGTAGGGGGGGGGGGGTGGGACATATTGTGGCTTCCTCCCTGTTTGTGCTATCCCATGCTTCTACTTACATATCCAACATCTGGTCTGTAACAAGTATATGCTCCTAGAATACTGTGTAGTACATCATGGAAGGGACCACCCTGCAAATAATAACCAGTAATTGGAAGATGCAATTGTGTTCCATACATCTACCCGCCTAAAAATATCTAAATCAATACATTCTAGTAGAGTGCAAACCGTACTACCCTCTCACTGTTATACCACCTTAACCCCCAGATATATATAGAGAAAACAAACATACTACCCTCTCACTGTTATACCACCTTAACCCCCACATATATACAGAGAGAAAACAAACATACTACCCTCTCACTGTTATACCACCTTAACCCCCAGATATATATATAGAGAAAACAAACATACTACCCTCTCACTGCTATACCACCTTAACCCCCACATATATATAGAGAAAACAAACA